CCTCAGCGCCGGGGTCAAAAGCTGGTGGTGTAGATGGGACACACTGCAAGTGTATCTTGCAAGTGCAGTGGGCGGTGGCCAACGGAGGGGGCCCACCTGGAAGATCGCCGTCCAACAGGCCAGGGTGCCCGAGGTTCTACTTCTTGCCCACAATCACCGAACTGCTGGACACTTAGGGGTCACTCACACCGTGGCCCAACTCAGGCAGGCTCCTGGAAATAAGACGGCAGGCCGAGGAGTGGTGCCAAAAGTGCCATCTCTGTGGTTCTAAGAGGTCCCCGCCGCGTCCCGGCAGAGCTCTGCTCCGACAATACCTGGTGGGGGCCCCTATGGAGCGGATCGCCATTGACCTCATCGGACGCTTGCCCCGAACCAAGGCCGAGAACACCAGCATAATGGTAATGCCGGACTATTTCAAGAAGTGGGTGGAGGCGTTTTCCCTGATCAGACTGCTGAGACTGTTGCCAAGACCCTCGTGGAGCAGATGATCTCACGCTTCGGGACACCCCTCGAGATTCACACGGATCAAGGGCGGGAGTTCGAGGTGGGCCAGTTCCGCGGGGTCTGCCGGCTGTTGGGCATCCACAAGACCAGGACGACTCCGTCCCACCCCCCGTCCGATGACATGGTCGAACGGTTCAATCGAACTGTGAAGACCATGCTGAGCGTATTTGTGGCTGAGAATCAGGACAAACCTCTCCCCTACGTCCTTATGGCCTACCGTTCCTCCCAGCACGATAGAACCAGGCTCACCCTGAAAATGCTCATGCTCGGAGGTGGGGCTTCCCCTGGACGTCGTTGTCAGGTCACCGGAGGAGTGGACGGATGCTACCGAGGCACTAAATTACGTCGAAGAGCTGAAAGCGAGGCTCACGTGGGCCCACGAATTAGCCCGGCGACACCTGAGGCGGACTCAGAGCTACCAGAAGCAGCAGTACGACCGTCGCGCCCAGGAGGGCGGGTTCGAGCCCAGCAAGGCTGCTTGGCTGTTCACCCCCGAGAAGAAGTTCAGCCGCGCCCCCAAGCTGCAACGGTGGTGGAACGGGCCCTTCGCGGTGCTACAACGCCTCAACGATGTGACCTACAAAGTGGAGCGTACCGCCCGAGCGAGGCCTCAGATCGTGCATCGCAAACGGCTCGAGCGCTACCTGGGCGACGTGCAGCTCGGATGGTGGGATCCCGCGGCCCGTGGAGCCCTGGCCGAGGAAGCGCCTATGCGGGCAGGGGGACAAGGAGCCAGCGGATCGGTCCTGCCCGCAGGGGCCGTCTCCCCCCCCCCAGGGACTGCACTGGAACCTGTTGACGGGGCGAAGTCAGGACACCCAGGCTGGAGCGGCGGCGTGTCGGGCGGGGAGAACTCGGACACAAGCAGCCAGGGAGGCAGCACGACGGCGGAGCCATCGCCGTGCGAGCCGGAGGCGTGGTGGGGCGCGCGCGTGACTTGCAAGGGGCGGCAGGTTCGGCACACAGCGCGAGCCTGCTCTACGCTAACTCCTGAATCTCCCTCTGATTCTCTCCCCGGGATGGACCGGTGTGGCTGCCCCACTGTTAGCGAGGATTCCGCCAACGGACCAACTTGCGGCGACACCTGAGGTCGGCTTGTCCGGAGCTGTTCGCCGCCCGGCCCTATACTTTTGAGCGGGGTGTGGCCGCTGCTTCTACTGCTCGGACACGCGGGATCGGCACCAAGGACACCGGACACTGCGACCACGTCCTCTTCGGCCAGGTCCGAACGGAGGATCCTGACGTCCCAGAGGTCTTCGCTGGTGGCGGGAAGTTGGGGGTGACGAGTTCCCCATGGAGCAATCACCCCCCCCCTTGCCTGTTGTC